TATCCCTTATTATGATTTTAATATAGTTTCGTCTAAGTTTCGACTGTTATTAAGGGGTTTCGTCCCTCATCATTAGTCAGTCTGTAATCTCAATAACATTCAGTCAGATGAAGAGAAAGATGAATGTTCGGAGTGATGAATTCTGGTCTATAGTTTTCTTCAACTAATTGAGCAATAGATAGTAAACGGGTATGTGCTTTATTTAACAAATTATCATCAATAATATGTGATACTAATAAGAAGCATGCTCTGACAAAATTTGTTAAAATCTTTCGATTATTTTTATCTAAAAGATCTCACAACAAAGAAATTGCATATAACATGATAAACGATTTCCATTGATATGCTGTGTATCCTGAAAAGCCCTCACCAGTTGCTATTTTATAAGGGATTCTTCCTAAATCTGCAGGAACTTTAATTTGTTTTGCTTGCCTTTCCATTAGTTCTAGATCAGGTTTAGTTATTTTACCACCATTAATCCAAAGTCTTTTTATGATCCAATAGGCAATACCCAAAAACAAGTTATGCATCAGATCTACTACTAAATGTCTTATTAGATTATGGTATGGTAATCAGAGCAGTTCAGACCATCAAATAAGGGTTCTACTAACATGATTTTTTGGGCTTCTATTGTTTGTTGATGTTTTTAAATTAAGGCGTTACGTCGATATTCTTTAACACTTTTCATTCTAAACCACTCATCTATATCATCAAATCCTTCAAAATTCGGTTTCTGACCTTCTTTGCCACTTATCCTTTTATAACATCTGTGATACCTGACTAGAGCAGATATATAGCCGCATAGTTTTCTTGCAGCCAGAATGTCACTAGAATAGCATATAACTGCCAGCCAGATTTTTTTGCCATTAAGACACTCATTAGTCGAAGTCAAATTAAAACCATCTTTCCAAAATTCAATCAATTCGTTTACTATTAGTGCGAGATAGTGATTAATTTTATGAAGTTTAACTTTATGTAGTCCTGGTAATAGGCTCAATGTAAGCATATTTTCTTTCTTAAACCTAATTTCACGAGGTAAGTTGCAAATTACCCCATAAATTATTCTGCAACTATATACAGAGGATTCAAACAGCTGAAACCAGTCTAGGTTGATCATAATTCCCAAATGTGAATCAGCCGTTTTAACTGTAAAAAAATTGGGAGGGTCCAGAATATCCAAGCGTGATGGAAAATTTTTTCAAACTTCACCATCATAGATATCAAATATTAATCTAGTAATATTTCGATTGGTCCACTTCTTCAAAAGTTCTTCGAAGCCTGGTCTTTGATACATTGTAGATAATTGAGTTTTTAAGCATGGTAATTGAAATATTATCTTTGGATGCCATATGTATCCATTATTTATTAGGACTTTCATGAGTAATTCTGAATCACATGATTTACAATAACTTTGCATGGGATGGTTGGAAAATTCAATATATGTGCATTTGAATCCTATAGTTGTATTATTATCTGGATTTTTTGGAATTATTGATGTAATGTCATACAATTTGTTACAATCAGTACAAATGGCAAAAGATTTTGATTTTTTCCTTATATTTAATAACTTTCTAGCCATATAGGTCATTGAAGGAAAGTCTTTAAACTGATATGGATCAATGTCTTTTAAAACAATGCTAAAGAAGCCAATCAACAAGTTAATTAAAACATCGGAAAGTTTAAACCTTTCTTGGAATTTAAAGATCCAAAGAAGAATCTATGAATTGGTTTTGCCAATATTCATACTAGAATTATCCTGACCTGAATTGTAATTAAGATTAACAGAAGCTGCAAATAACTCATCATCATCTGAGAACAGTTCATCATCTAAAGTTTAATTATCATCAAACGATTGAGAACTTTCTTCATCACTAAATGATTTATCTTGTTGTTCAGGTTCTTCGTCCAGAAAGATGTTAATATTATTAGTTATATAAAATTTATCATATCTTTTTCGCTTTTTTTTACAGAAGCTGGATTTCTAATAAAAGAATTTTCATCAGATTGATTGTGATCGCTATCAATCATTGTATCATCTTCGTGAAGACTTCAAAAAGAATCGGTATCCATGGATTGAATTTCAACTGAATTAGATCTAAGCAGATTAGTTGGTATTAAATCGTGATTTCCTTTGTCTTTGCTTTTATCCGTTTTAGAGATTGCATCTTGGAGCTGTTTCTCTTTCATTTCATGTTTATTCCTGGTTCTTGTGTTGACAAGTTTACCGTTACACATTTTACAATCACATAGTACTTTTGGTCGAACTTTTGTAGCTTTTTTAGCTACAGATATTTCTTTATTCAATTCTTGTTTTGTTGATCGTTTGAACATTTTAAAAATATAGAAATCAGAGAGAACAATTGAATTTACCAGTTATATAAATCTATCTAGTTAATTAAATAAATTGAAATTTTACTACTATTGTGAATTTTGTGATTGATCCTTATTACCACAATTTTTTAGTAGATATATGTATGTATATTGTCACCGTGGAATTCTTCAACTCAGGGTGATCACGTTATCAAGTCTCTACTCGAAATTTCTAACTGCGGTT